AGCAGCACAGCTCGACCCCTCCCCACCTTGACTCTCTGTGCCCCTCCCCACCTGCACTTTGCCTCACCCTCTGGGGGCTCCACACTGTGCGTCCTCAGCTCAAGAAGCAGCTTTTACTCTGTAGCTGCAGCAGGAACAAGCTAACTCTCCCAGCCCTGCACCCCTGAACAACACCCCCGCTGCCCCCCGCAAACACACACAGCCCAATTAAATGTCTGTGGAGCTGCGATTGAGCTTCTTGTGCTCAGAAGCTGTGGCAAAGGGCAAGAGGCCCCCGCTGCTTAAAGGAGGAAGACATCAAAGGATATTTTTTCAAGAGACCAATAGAACAGAAGGTGCCACTTGTGCTCCCTGTGATTTGGGAAAGCATGTTTTTATTTTGTTTTAAGAAACAACTAGAAAACGAAGGAATAGGAAGGTGGTTACCCCAGGCAGAGGGCCAGGTCAGTGGAGGAAGGAGAATCTGAAAATAACAAGGCAAGCAGGGTGCCGGGCGTGGGAGAGGACTTGGGTGAGGGGACTTTGTCCCCATTTTCTCACTAATGCCTGTTGAAACGCCTCTCCCCTCCGGCCAGAGCGGGTGGGTTCCATGGTGGCAGGCCTGAACAGGCCGAGCTCTTCCCCGCTCAGGAATCTAAACTGTGTAAGGTACAGGGCTTGGACCACATTCAGTCAAGGGGCTGCAGAGGTCCAGGTGCGCACATGCCACACCCACTCCCTCATTTCAGGAATCTAACCAGCCCCCCTGGAGGAAGATGCCCAGGTATGAGCTGCCCACAACAGGACTAGAGACTTGGGAAGCAGCCATGGAAAACTGGGGGCCATTAGACCTGGCATCTAGCCAGGCTCTTTCAAAGCCTCAAGATCTACACCTAACACTGGTGGGTCTTTAAACATAAGTCTAGCCTTAACTGGTTTGGCTCAGTTGATAGAACGTCGGCCTACGGACCAAAGGATCCCGGGTTTGATTCCAGTCAAGGGCATGTACCTTGGTTGCAGGCTCCTCCCTGGCCTGGGCCCTGGTTGGGGCACATGCAGGAGGCAACTATCGATGTGTTTCTCTCACACTGATATTTCTCTCAGTGTTTCCTTCTCTCTTCCAATCTCTGAAAGATCAATGGAAAAATATCCTCGGGTGAGGATTAACAACAACAACAAAAAGGAAACATAAGTCTATTTTGAGAATTGCGTCCTGGCCTCTTGGGGAAGAGCACAAGCAAATAATAGATGCGCCCCTATGTTCATAGCAACGTTATTTACAATAGCTCAGATCTGGAAATAGCCCACATGCCCATCAATAGATGAGTGGATAAAAAAGCTGTGGTACATTTACAACATGGAATACTGTGCAGCTGTAAAAATGAAGGATCAATTACTCTTTGAGACAGCATGGAGGGACCTGGAGAGTATTATGCCAAGTGAAATAAGCCAGTCAGAGAAAGACAAGTATCACATAATCTCACCCATATGTGGAATCTAATGAACAAAATAAAATGATGAACAAAACAGATCCAGGGACATGGAAGATTGAAAGAGACTAAAAAGACTAACAAATAACAGAGGGAAGTGTCGGGGTTGGGGTGGAAAGAGATTAACCAAATAACTTATATGCATATATGCATAACCCATGGACACAGACAATACTGTGGTGAAGGCTTGGGGAGGGGGTGTGGCTGTAGAGGAGGGAGTTAATGGGGGCAGGGGAGGTGGAAAAGGGACATCTGTAATACTTTCAACAACAAAATTTTTTTAAAAAAGCAATCTTTGTGCCTGGCCAGCATGGCTCAGTGTTTGAGTGTCAACCTATGAACCATGAGCTCAAGGTTCGATTCCCGGTCAGGGTACATGCCCAGGTTGCTGTCTTGATGCCCAGTGTGGGGCATGCAGGAGGTGGCTGATCAATGATTCTCATCATTGATGTTCTATCTCTCTCTCTCTCCCCTGCCCTTCCTCTCTGAAATCAATAAAAATATATTTAAAGAAAATAAAAAGCAATCCTGGGAGGGCCAAGGCTACTGGGAGGGCATGAGGCTGAGGAAGGCTAGGACCAGGGGACGAAGGGGGAACAGAATCATTTCCATGGAGCAAGGTGCGCATGTGACCCACGCCCCAGGCAGGGCCAGGGCTCAGGGAGCCTAGTGACAGAGAGAGTGCTGTGTGTTAGGAGGAGGGGGTCCAGGGGACAAGGAAAGGGTCATGACGAGGGATAGAGACACAAGGGGGAAGCAACCAGGATTAACTGAGTATCGTCACCTGTTCAACCCTTGTCACAGCCTCAGGATGTAGCTGATCATCCCCATTGCGCAGATGTAGGGGACGGGGGTTGTAGAAGCTAAGTGTTTATGCTGGGTCACATAGTGAGAGGTGGCATGGAGATCAGAACTGAAATCTGTCTTCATTGCAAAGCGGCTTGTGGCTCCTTAGCGACCCCCCCCCTCGCCAATTCCTCCCCATCCCTAGCAAACAAGATTTTATCATCACATCATGTGGCCACTTCCTGGCTCTGAGTGGAAACACCTGGAAGGCCAGTGCCCTAGCCGCATGAGGAATGCTGGTTCCGGGAAATGGTCACATTGTGAAGGGGCCGGACACGGCATCTCCCTCCATCCACCCCCATCCCGCCCTGAACGCCTCCAGAGGCATCGTTGGCGGAGCCACTCCACCTGCACCCAGGCCCTCCCGGAGCGTCAGGAGGCCTTCACCACGTTTTCAAGCAGCTCTTTTTCCTTCCTCTGTGCTCGGCTGTAAAATGTTCCCTTCAATTATTTTCCTACTTCTCGCTTCAGAACAGCCAAGCCCACAGCGCTGCTCCCTGGGTTGTGTGCCGTGTGTCGCTGTGCTGTGAAATATTAAGCCTTCACAACAGGTCCGAAGGCAGCGACGCACAGTCCTTTAATGGCCTCACTCACTCGGGCTGTTTGAAAACGGCATAATATTGCTATTTTTAAATAAATGGGATCTGTATTAATGAGAGCTGACCTCTCTGGCCCGCAGAGCTGCGCCCGGCATCGGGCCCACATTGGGAACTGGGCATGAAAGGGAGGGGAGCAGCTTTATGGAAACCAAGCAGCTTAAATAACACTCACGGATACCAATCATCGGCGGGAGGGGCGGTGGAGAGACGATTATTTGCGTAGATAATAGATTTCATTTTTGCAAAGACGTAGTCTTGATATTGAGAAGAGAGGGGTGGAGGTGTGGGGGGCTGTGTGCATGCGTGTGCATGTGTGTGCCTGCTCAGATGGCAGGCATATGCCAGCATGGGGTGGGACTGTGGCGGCTGGGGCATGCTGAGATGATGAGAAGGATTATGGTTTTGAGGTTTGCGAGGGGAGTCTGTGAGGGATGGGCAGGAAGCCACCCTGACCAGTGATGGGGACGTGACAGCTGAAGAAAGGCCCCTCAAATAGGGACGTGACCGGCTCTGGTGTATCCGCAGGTGGAAGCCTCTGGAACCCGGGCTTCCTGTCCCTCGTGAGGCCTGGCAGGAGCGATGAGAGAGCTCTCCCGGGCTCTACCCTGCGGCCTGGCGGGCTGACATCTCATTGCCAGGCAGCGGGTGCAAAGTCATAAATCAGCTCGGTGGGGCCTCTGCTGCCTAAGACGGAGTATTGGACTTGAGATGTTGAGGACATACCTGGGCCAGGCCCCTCGGTGCAGAGTCCCTGGGCATGAGGGCCCCAGGCCTCGGGGATGCTGATAAAATTGCCTCTTCCTCAGTTGCAAGATGGGCTGCAAAGCGAGGCAGACTGGGCTGGGCGAGGGGCCCTCAGACGCAGGAGGTGGGCTGTGCAGAGGGGACTTGGAGGAAGAGGCTGAGGAGAGAGGGCGGTTCTCCGGGAGACACTGGCAGGGGCTTGACAAGCATCAGCCCGTGGCTCCCGCTCCTGAGTTCAT